TTTTTTTTTTTTTTTTTTTAAAGCAAGGATGCATTCAATTGATTGAAAGTGCCAGTGAAGGCATTTAGAATTTTACAAAAGATTTCGGGTTCAAGTAAATGCTGTTCTATATATTAAGCACAGCAATTTATATTATAAAATAAGAAATGTTTCTTGAGCACCAAATCAGCATATTAGAATGGCTGCTGAAAATTCAGCGTTGCCATCACATGATTAAATTACATTTTAAAATATATTCAAATAGAAAACAGTTATTTCAAATTGTAACAATATTTCACAATATCACTGTTTTTACTGCAATTTCATCAAATAAATGTGGCCTTGGTGAGCATAAGAGACTTCTTTTAAAAACATTAAAAAACTCTTACAGACCCCAAACTTTTGAACGGTAGTGTGTGTGTGCATGTATATTGTTATAAAATATTTTTTAAGGCCGACATATCAGTCTGTCACTAATCCTTAAGATGTCTTGAAATCAGCAGTGTGGTGTCTCCTTTTTGGTGGATGGTTTCTCTGCGTCTCTGATTGTGGTGTTTGTTTACATTGTTGTTTTGGGATCAGGACATGATCACTACTGTCTCTGCATGTCAAAATCATATTGTCATCTGTGAGATTTTTATTTGTTCTTTGTCTTTTTGTCCCTCTCCCCTCCCTTGCTTGGAAAATGTGCCTTCCTCCACCCTTCCTCCCTGTTTGTTCTCATCTCCACCTACAAAAACACTATTCTCTGCCATGCTGCATCGCCTCCCTCCACTTTACTCTTTTTCCATTTATCCTGGCTTCTTCCCACTGCTTTTTTGCTACTTGGCTCTTCCTCGTCCTATTTGCTACCGCATTTCCCAGTCCTTCCAATCCCAATCTCAAGGCTATGCCAAGCCCTGGCTGGCACACAGTAAAACTCCAACACCAACCAAGTGCCAGTCCTGCCCAGAGCACAGCCAGACCCCTGGGCATGAGGTAACACACTGCCCCCTCCCAGTGCCCTAGCACACTAACAGTAAAAGCTTTAAGTGCGGCCTGATCTCAACAATTGGGAAGGACCTGAGGTAGATGGCTCCGTAAACTCTGTGACCCTTATATGTTGCTAAAGAGTGTAAACTGTGACCTTATGCAGCTTAGTCTCCAGTGTGATAACAGGCAGATGTAACTGGCTTGAGAAACAGTTTCAGTTCATTTCATGTTCATCAAGAAATCATTCTGTTAAACCATCTTATGTGATGACAGTTTTTCATCGTCCAGGTCTTGGTAGAGAGTCTGGTAGAACGTAACCAAAAGTAGCTGGATTTTTCCAGAAAACAAATTCCAGTTACTTTTAGCTACATTTGACCAGATTTATCTGTTAGTTTTATTATCCGTAGCTACACAGGAAAAATCTGGCCTTTTGTAATAAACGTTCGCTCTTTGCTTTTATAGGGAGGCTCCACATCTAAGCTGAAAAGACCAACTTTCCATTCCAGCCGTGGCTCCTTAACTGGTGAGAACGGTGGAACACCAACCGCTACTAAACCTGGACGCTCCGGTACGAAACTGCTTCACTCACTCAGATTTTTTAAACTGATGTGAATTGATCTAATCTCCAGTGTTGGGAAAGCTACACTAAAACTATAACATCACAAAGTACACTGAAAGTGTAACAAGCAGCTTTGAAACGGTATTGTGAAAAGCTTTATACAAATCAACTTGAATGTAGGTGTAACTGAAGGTACTAACAGACCCTTCTGAAAAACATAGTTAGCTACACTACAAGCTAATAACAAAAAGTATTGAATATTGAAACCATTTAAGAGGGCAGTATATTTTAGTGCTGCAACCAATAAGTTTGTGATTTTTACATGTTCAAGATAATCTTCACAAATAACTTTTATGAATTTTGAATCCTAACTACAATCGGCTAGAGTAAAAAGCTAAAGGTAGGCTATAATTGAATACTTCATAATCACCACCACTCTTTCAGTCTTTAAGATCTACAAGTTGGAAAGTTTGAGTTATAAAAAAATAGTTTGCAAGAGAATGACTATAAACAAAATGAGGCTGTTAAAGTGGACTAGTTAGTTTAGTTTATTGTCCTTTCGGAAATTCTTTTTGTGTCTCTGGCAACTCTTCAGTGATCAACAACAATAATTAACAAATACAAACATCAACAGGTTACAACACATTACAAATAAATACAACCAGCATCAAACAACATCCCTCTCACAACAACAGAATCACTGCCATAGATGTAAAATGACAACTGTGATATCACAAAAGTTTATTTAACAGAGCTATACTGGATGATATAAAAGATCTTTGTGCACGGGCAGTCCGTAATAATGGTACCCTGTACCTTCGACCAGATGGTAATAACTCATATTCACCACAAAGAGGATGCAATGCATCCAGAAAAATTGCATGGCTTTTCCTCACAGCTCGAAATTCACATAGTTTTATCAATAGATGTAAAATGACAACTGTGATATCACAAAAATTTATTTAACAGAGCTATACTGGATGATATAAAAGATCTTTGTGCACGGGCAGTCCGTAATAATGGTACCCTGTACCTTCGACCAGATGGTAATAACTCATATTCACCACAAAGAGGATGAGATGCATCGTGAAGAATTGTATGGCTTTTCCTCACAGCTCGAGATTCACATAGTTTTATCAGACTATGGTGTTGTTTACCTGCAATCTTACTAGCCATGTTAACAATTTTATTTAGTTTGTTCTTATTTACTACAGACAGTGAGAAATACAGGCAACAAAGCTGAAAGTCAAGATACTCTCCACAAATAAACGATAGAATAGAGCCAACATATATGTATCCACACCAAACTGTCGAAGCTTACGCATGAAATACAATCATTGCAGCCCTTTCTTGTAAACAGCTGCTGTATTTACATCCCATGTCAGTTTTACATCAATGATTGTCCCTAGATATTTATATTCATTTACAACTTCAATGCCCTCACCATTAACAGTTACAGTGAGTAGATGAGTTTTCCTGTTGGGGGTAATGATGTATAATGCCCCCGACAACCTCTGTAGTCCCATTTAGCCACTTGTTAACAACACAAAGGGAGTTTTACTGATGTATTTAATGTTGTAGAATAAATATCTTCAGCTTGTGTTAACCACAGACCTTGTTTAACCAAAACCCCATTCAGAAAACGCATTGACTTTGGGGCCATGGAACTGGTTTTAGGACTCATTCCTGCAGCACACTATTATGAATATATTACTGTCTATTGGCATACTTTGGTATTGTTTTTTGTCTAGTATAACAAAACAATGTAACAATTAATTTACACTAAATTCTAAATGAATGAGACTAGAAAGCACAAAAATGTATGTTAGTCAAAATACAGTGATGAACAGTGGCATTTAAGTCACTATATCAGTACCAAAACAAAAAATAAAGAAAAAACGTTTAGCGCAGGAACTCAAACAAATTGATTAATATTTTTGTTGTTGTTGTTGTTGTTTGTTTTAACAAACCTCCTTGTGTTAAGTTCATTGATCCATCCAAAACAAGCCTGTTTGCTCAAATTAATAAATTACAGTTTATGTGGCTTGCTCTGCTGTAAAGCACAGTGCACAAAAAATGTCACATTCCACATGTTGGATAAACTAGCCAATTACTGATCAGGTAATGGGTTAGTTACAGTATTAGTGTTGCTATTTAAAAAAAAAAAAATAAATGTACTCCAAGTATTAAATTTTAGATTGTGGTGTTGTAATGGTATTACTGTACCCTTAAACTTGAATCGTCTTCCTTCATCAGACACCAAACGCACTCCGTCCTCAACGAGCGGCCCAGCCAGTCGAGCAGGGAGTCGTGCTGGAAGCCGCGCCAGCAGCCGAAGGGGCAGCGACGCTTCAGACACGTCTGAGCTCATGGAGACACGCTCGGCTTGCTCCGACACCTCAGACACCCCTCGCCGGCCTGGGGCCAAACCCTCTAAAATCCCCACCATCTCCAAGAAGGCCCCCAGCCCCAAAACACCAGCGGCCAAGAAATGAAGTCGCCACCTTATCAGTCTATGTGACTGACTCTGAGGTGGTTGTGATTTAACCAGCAGGAGGAGAACACCAACACCTTCCTCTCTCAGACGGCTAATGTGCCGCTCCGCCAGCTCAGACGAGACAGGACCAGACTTAACACCTCCAGCGTCTAGCGCAGCCGCACACTACTGCACCACCTAGATCAATACCTACCATAATGCTGCCTTATTTGTGTTCTACATCATGTCCTTAATTTGACTGGCATTGCGTTTTCTTGAATGTGCGATGGAGAACATCCGGTGTGAGCAGACATATCTCCACAGACACTCAGGAGGGACGTCAGTTCTGCACCAGGGGTTTTCACTATTCTTCACTATGAATATGCAACCGCCCGTCACTCTCCAAACCTCATGCATGGTTGTCACTTTGGAGATGTTTGGTTGGACAAACTCGCCCTTTTCACTGGTATGCAGACCAGTCTCGCCTGGGTGTCTATGCCACCGCAAACTAGAGGAAATCAATTAAAAACAGAGACGTTTTCCTACTGGACACTTGTATGTTTGTGTGAATGAATGTGTGGTAGTTCCTGTCATAGTAAACTAACGCAGTAACACGGAGAGGAAGTGGAGGAGGATACATATCTCTAGCCTTCCCAAGGTGTGAAGATTCTTGTGATGAGAAGACTAGATCCTTCACGTCACACGTGATCCATTTAAAGGAACTCCTATAGTGCACAGCACACGAGTTTCATGCGCTCGCACCGACGGTCTTCTCCACTGTGTGTCCACACAGTCTAGTTGTGTCCTTTTGTTACAGACATCATGTTACAGAGCTTTTCCACAGGATGCAAAAATGATTACAATTGTGAATGTTTGTTTCAAGGTTAATTTATAATCCTGACGTTGTTTCTTTTCTAGAATAAAGAGCTGTATTTATTTGTGATTGCAGTATCATATCAACTCTTAAGAATGACTAGTATTAACACAACAGGAATCGCTCTTGGTTTTGTTTTTGTACGTCCGCTCCTGACGTAATGAAGTTCTCTGACTGATCATTTCTGATGTTATAACTGACCAGGAAGCTTAATGATTCCAATGGTGGCCTTTTTGCCGGCGACTAACTTTAGATGACGTCAAAAGTGGCTTCCTACTTGTTCTTTCGTGACGGAAGCACCCTAAATAATGAATGATGGGAGCGGCTCGCGTTGCCCCTGTTAAAAACAGCGCTTTGAATCTTGTCGTTGACAAGCTGAAGTATATGAATACCTGAAGAAAAGTTATTTTTATTTATTTATTGTGTCCTTGGGAGGGAGGTGAGGGCTGTGAAAGGATCCACCTTTTGATTGTGTTACTCTTTTGACATGACTGAGAAACAGGGGTGCAATTGTGTAAAAGTAAAGAAGTTATGATTATAAATCCTTTTTGTTCTCTTTTGTATTAAAACAATGCTTGCAGTAAAACTGTCTAGGTTTTCGTGTTGTTGAGTGACGTGTGAGCGTGCAGGGATGCCACAGTTAACAGGAAATGGCACAGTAATTACAAGCAGTAGAGATAATGACACACCCCATTAAATCTTCAAAAGGGGATGAGCCTTTGGTGTGTGCAGAGATTTGAACACACTGCACTTTTATAGAAGATTTACACAGTCATTCGGGAGTTCAGAAACGGGCCCACAAGTGAATAGAAGCACCTTTGTGCCGTGTGTGTTGGTCACACTTAAGTAGTGTGTGTTTGTACTGGACTCTGTGTATGTTTGGTGGTCCGATGCAGCGGATGGGGTTTGGGAAGGGTGGGGTTTCATCATCTCCATTCTGCAGCTGTGTGTCTGTGTTTATATACAAATATTTAAACCCACTCACATCCTTTCCCACCAAACACCATCCACACCACCGAGCCGAGTTCTCGTGGCATCTCGCAGTCCTGCAGTGTTATTTCATTCTTATAATCAACTGAGATCAATACACATAATCCCTCATTTTTTGCATTTTTAGTTGTTTTTATCAAACTGTTTTCCTATTTTAAAAAAACTCACTTTATATGGGTGTTTGCGTAGTTGACTAATTGCAGGTCAATGGCCCTCATTTTTATTTTAAATTTCAACAATTTTATAATATCTATATAAATATTTATACACATTATTTTATATTTTGTGTAATTCATAATATATATTACTTGCAAATCAAGGTTCCATATATATATCTTCAATAAGACAGCGTTGCTCTGTCACTCCTTGGCTATTGTTGAAACCACAGAATATAAATACAGTTTTCATGTTACCGTCACCATAAAAACTCATTTCTAGTCTGTGCAAAGGTTGGATCACATCTGAGAACATCTTTATGCCAAACCACATGATAATTGTCAGCAATTTGTGAGGTATGTGTAGAAGATAGTAGTTTGATAGTAGATGGAGATTGAGGTGAGAAGGGTTTAGGGAAGAGAGGGCGGAGGATCCAGTCGTTGGAAACACTCCCTCTGCGTAAGTGTGTATCTTGGAGGGAAGGAGGTCACCCGTGTTCAGATTATGCCTTCAACGCAAGCAGCACACAGGCTAAGAATACCACAGCTCACTGGGATCTCGCAACTTCACAATTCAGAAAAACATTTGGGGATGGTAACACTATCCTGGTGAACAAATCATTTTCTCACTCAAAATCCTGAAATATATATATATTTTTGATTTTTCAGGAGTCTTGGATATTTCCACCCATTGGATTAAACATTTAAATCCCAATATTAATGGATTACTGCAAGGGAGTTTTGTAACTTTTGGTTTTTCATTTAAACATAGAGGATTTCATCAGCTTGGAGTTGTGACTCTCGTCTTCTCAAAAGGAGCAGAAGCAGGTGTTGTGTTTGATCCAGAAACCTTTGAAGAAAAAAAACCCTTGAAACCTGATGTTTGTGAGGCCCTGTGTTTTTATTTACTCTACCTAAAGACTTTAATTTCACATTGTGCTTAGTCCGTCCAATTCCGAGATCCAATTTGAGCTTCTAGGAAGACCTGTTTGTTTTCTCTTCCAGTTTCTAGGATATTTTTTGTCGTCCATCTCTGTAAGCACATTGTAGAGTTTGGTAAATGAAATGACAGCATGAGGAATGACTGTCAAAAGGCGATAAACTGAGTGGCTTGTAGAAGTAAACATTGCACTCTTTCAAATAATGATGACTGCTGTGGAATCTGAGTGGCTTAGACGTCGGAGTGTTATTCAGAGTTGAACTTCAAGACAGTAGTCAGACCATTCCAGAGAAGACCAACGTCGGGTAAACACCCAGAGGTTTTGGAGGGACAAATACGATCTTTATAGACCGCTGCAATGGAGCAGAGCACTTCTGCCACACCAATGGGCAAACAGGAGAGTGTGGTTGAGTGTGTGTCCTCACACCGCAGCAGAGGGAGGAAGGAGAGCTGTGGCAGCCGAACCCGAGGCCGCCAGCGACTGTTTCCTCTGCCTGTCCTCCTCCCTCTCTGCGTGCTGCTGTGTGTTTGGGCTCAGGTGGAAGGAGTGGTGCATTCCAGCTTCCGCAGGCTCAGTGGTCGTGAAAAGAAGGAGATGCAGAAGGAGATTTTATCCATTCTGGGTCTACCCGGCCGGCCCAGACCTCACCCGCCTCTGCGGCCCCCTTCCTCCGCCCCGCTCTTCATGCTGGACCTTTACCATGCCGTGTCGTACGAGGCCGATGATGGACTGGGTTTGGGCTTCTCTCCAGAAGGGGTCAGTCATGCGGCGCTGCCCACTTTAAGCACACACACGCCGCCCCTCGGCACAGTGGTTAGCGAGGCCGACACGGTTATGAGCTTTGTCAACCTGGGTAAGTGAAAGCTGGCAAGGGTTAAACGCACTTCACTTACAGAAGACATGAATTACTATACAGCGGCTCATGTGTGGACATAAACCACACTTGAAAATGTGTAAATGTCATTGTATTATATAACGCATTAGACCGAGTGTCATTTATTTAAAAGAAAGACAAGGCAATCAGTACATTTCACATTGAGAAGTGTGTTGCAACAACAAATACTTTCACAAAAAATGATTTTGGACACTTTCTGTTTGTCAAACTGGAACTGGAACTTAATGTCAGTGTTAATTTAGTATTTTTTATATATACTATATATTATTTATAGATTATCTTTAATGAATAAGCTTCTATTTTTTATATTTTCAGTTTTCATTTTAAAGTTTTAGTAATTTTGTTCTGTGCTTTTGTTATTGTTTTTTGTTTTGTTTTTGTTTTAATATTTTGATTGAGCCTTCATTTGTTTTTTGTTTTTTGTTTTAGCACTTCAAATTCAGCTTATTTTATTTTAGTTAGTTGCCAAGGCAATATTTCTATTTTTTATTTATTTTTCATCTAATATTTATATTTTATTCTAGCTTTATTTCAATTAATATTATATATTTTGTATATATATATCTATTTAGTTAACAGTAACAACGCTGGTTTATATGAAAGCCTGCCTTAGAGATCAAGTTTAAAATAAGAAGCAAAATCACACTGTTCGATATAAAGTCACATTTACAGTAAATAATGCATTTTTAATTTATTTACTTATTTTTTTAGTTCATTTCTCTTTTTTTATTTATTTATTTATTTATTTTTTGAGGAGGTAAGAGGCTTCCATATGTCCACAGAAATTCACCTTGACTTAAATGTCATTGCAAAAATAACTAGAAAGTGGTTAGTTATGAGAACAAGTGTAATATCATTTGTTTGCAAATACCACTTGGTTTGATATTTTAGCTAATACAATGACATTTTAAGTCTGCTTTCAGTGCCCTAATGTCTTTTTGGGGAGTACAATAAATAATGCTGTTTTATAGCACAAAAATACTGTATTGGAAGCCAGATAGTTATTCATATACAATGCCATTTGCCATTGATTTTGAGAAGCTGACAAGGCTTTTAGTGTGTACTGATAATACAGTCTGTTCACTGAGACAGACCCACAATCACTCCATCATCTCTTCCTGTCTCAGCCCAAACACAGACGATACTTATCTGTCACGAAACAAACAACAGTTTAACATCCTATTTACTATTCCTGCTTCTCTTTCCACGTCGTTCCTGCCACACTATTATTGGTCAGTATCACCCCTTTCTCAGATGTAACTAGTGGTGTTTGCTAAGGCAGGCATCACTATTATTATTGCGCATACTTGGGTTAGTGATTTAAACAAACCTGTAACCCTAATTATGAAACTTTGCTGCATTACTGTTTGTGCTACAAACATGAATGATGCCTCAAATCATGTGGCTCTTTGAGGAGAGGTGTGCTTTTGCTTTTCTAATTGATCGGACACTCTTAAAAATAACGGTTCGTAAAAGGTCCATTTTTTAATAGTGTGAAGAACATTTTAATAATCTAAAGAAACTTTCTACAATAGACTCTTGAAAATAAAGATTCCGAAAGACCATATTTGTTGTGATGACATGGAACCTTTTTAAAGTTCTGCAAAAAAAAACTTGAACAGTTCTAACAGCGGCTAAAGAACATTTTAATAATTTTTCCAATAGACTCTTGAAAATATACTGTACGGTCCAAAGGGGGGTTTTCATAGCAATTCCAAAGAAGAACTACTTTTACTTGATTTAAAGAGCATTTAAAAAGAACCTTTTTTCCACTACATAAAAAACATTTTGTGCATTCGCTGTTAAAAATAAAGATTCCAAAAGGGCAGTTACGCAACGATTCCCTAGAAGAACCATTTTTGGCTCCCCAAAGAACTTTTCAGTGAACAGTTCTTAAAAGATCTACTACTACTTTTTTTAGTGTGAAGAACATCTAAAAAAATCTAAAGAACCTTTTGTGTTATGGAAAGTTTCTAAGGATGTTAAAGTTTCCTCATAGGACCATCAAATGAAGAACTTATATTTAGGGCTGCCCTCGACTAAAGATTTTTCTGATCGACTAATAGTTGTTTATTTAAAGCAAGTTTATATTAATAAACCATATCATTCATAATAATGAGCCTTTAATTGCCATTGCCATTAAAATCAGCGCTCAAGCGCACACATGAAGCTTGCCACAGCGCACTGCAGAAGTAATGATTATGAATCCATCGGGAAAAAACTGCAAGAAGACTGCCTTAACAGTATAATAATTAATTGATAAACTAGTGTTTTCAGTATTTTCGGCTGCAATGACAAAGTCGACGACATTGACTCGTCATCTCCACAGTGGACAATGCACATTTTATACGGATTACATAATCTGCAAAGATTTGTTTCCATTTGAATTGGTTCATTTAAAAGTAGACATTTTGCTTTATATAGATATATTTGTTTATGTCTGTGAGGCAAGCATGGAGTTTCGGTTGCAGTTTTCGGGATGGTTTTTTTATTGTTTTGTTTTGTTTTGTTTTTTGATGCGCTCAAGTTCACAGCGCTCAAGGCTCAAGTAGACCTTTTGCAGATTTGAAAGATGTATTACTTTTATCTGTACGACCAAAATTGT